GGGGGGGGGCTACATTACAATGCTTACATGCTAATAGAAAAGTCTTTAAACAGTCCGAAAAGTTCTTTTGGGAAGCCATGAAAAGTCCACTTAACCGCTACCTCAGATTGCCCCCGATGATGAGCCCAGATCTTTGAACAAGGTAGATGCTCTATTGAGGTTTTATCCCCAATAGCAACTTGTTCAAATATTTCAAGTGAAAATAGTGTCGTAGCTCAGTCTGTAACATATTTTGACATACTATATCTTGGAGATATTGGCAGTTGGACCAGAGGGTTCCCGATTTAGAGACTTAACAAGACTTTTTCCGCCGAGATTTCTTTTATAGGCGCTAGTAGGAGCATAGCTTAATCTGAAAGGACTTGGCTTTAGGACTACAAGTTAGAATTTCAAAGACCCCTACTATACTAAATAAAACTCTCTTTTGAGGAGTTAGCAGAGAGCCTGTTGTTTTCCTGATTGATGCAATAGTCCTGTTGCACAAAGGCCTGAATTCCAATTTCTCATTTCTCTTATCCTGCAGTTGGGGCATTGCTCAGTCTGTCTCACATGAAGTATCATGGTGATGGAAATGTAAGCCGGCTAAGTCAAATTTTTCTTCTGGAGTTCTGAAGTTCAAAACACACCTTGGAGTGAAACCTTTGGAAATCGGGACCGGCTTCTGCACTTGGGGAAAACCTGAGCACTTCTGTGGTGCTCTTAGGAAAGGCACTAAATCCTTAATCCTGTTTCTAACCGCCGCTTTAGAAGTTTTGGAGAATTGGATGGAGGTAGAAGGTTCGAGACCCCTAGGGCTCAATAAATATGGACATTCTGACTAGGTATGAGGGACAGTTCTGTCCTGTAGCTCGGACAGGGACAACTCCCCAAAGTCTTGGGGCGCAGCTCCATTTTGTGCATCAACTTCACTCTATACACTTAACATGCTCTTTTTGACATCAAGACCTTGTAATTCCCACCAGCCATACCAATTCCGAGTGTTTACGACTGGACCAGATGTGGAAAGCAGTGTCTTGACTTCATGCAGCCAGAGATTATTTGCTGATGTTATCTGGTTGATAGTTTCTGCATAAACAGAGATGCAACAAAGCAAGTGGAGCATGTCTCAGCTTTTAAACTGCTTGCAATGCATAAACAACCCCACCGTTCTTCCTTTTAGTTGCATTTCTATACAGCACATGAATTGCACAACCCACCACTATTTCGCTCTTTTGGGACTCCTACGTCAATCTTTTTTCACGCTCACTATCCTGAGCGCTTAATTTGTTTGAGTGAGCCTTCAAGATACTGTACCTCCTCTCCCTGCTGCAGATATCGAGAACAGATGTACAGACAGTTACACCCTGACACACAAAAAAACCCCCCACAAAAAACAGAATGCATAGACTCATATGATGACTACTTAAAATTTACTATTTGCCCCAAGATATGTTGCACTGAGAATGCATTTTCACAGGAACCCACCAAGATGATGGACCACACCTGGACACAGCTGGACCATGGAAGCCTACCTTGTTCTGGGCCGGGGACATCTGCAGCTATAAGACACACAAGGAGACCTATAAATAAAGAGTACGTTTTGCCGGAAGATGCTCAGCGTAAACACCAGACCTTGAGTTACCTTTGAAGGTGCACCAGGAGTCAGCTGCTCGTGTCCTGCGTGGGTTGCAGCCTGGCGTACTTGTTTAGTTCAAATGACAAATTGGCCGACTAAGATTGTGTCAACATGAAAGGTCAGTTTCCTGTTGTTACTCACAGTACCACTCACACACACACACACACACACACACACACACACACACAGCTTACATGTGCTCATTGAATTTGTTCATACAGTATAATTTACTGGGTTTTTTTCCATCAGTTTGCACACTTCCACAGCAGTCAGCCACGCTGTCAGTCATCTTACTCACTGCTGTGCGAGTTGTCACACACACACACACACACACACACACACACACACACACACACACACACACACACACACACACACGCATTTGCGAAGTTGTAATTTACAGGAAAAGGAACATGCAAACACTGATAGAGACAGCAAGGGAAATAAGATGAACAGGCTTAGAATAGAATTTTACATCACAATAAGTAGGAAAGTAACACGTGGTCAGAACAAACAACACGAATTATACTGCCGTTATACCACTGTAACCATAGTTGAGGAGTTCACAGGCTCAGTGACACTGATGATGCCGGAAATTGTCTACTCTGAACGCATCATGGTGCTTAACTTTTAGCATAGTGTGCTAATTGTTAGAATATCTGCCTCACGATTGTGAGGTTCTGGCTTTGAATCTCGGCGATATCTTTGCGTGGCCTTTCTCCAGGTGCTCCACCTGCCTCCCACGTTCCCACATCATGTATGTTAGGTTCACTGATAATGTCCATAGGTGCGAATATGAGAGTGAATGGTTGTTTGTTCCTATATGCATCCTGCGATTGGCTGGTGACCAGTCCAGGTGTACCCAGCTTTTGACTCAAACTCTGCTGGGAAAGGTTCCGACTCACCCTCAACCCAAATGAGGACAATTAGTAATGAAACTCGATTAATGGATAAATATTGACTCATCAGTCACTTCCACATATACGTATGCGGCATGTTTGTTTAGGAAAATATACTTATTTGTATCAGTCAGACCTTTCCAGGATTTTGGCTTCCTAAACAAGCAATGAGTCAAGTTGCTATTAAAAACTCTGCTGAGAGAATGATGCATGTGGCATTCTGCATTTTTGCTATTAGACATTCAGAAATGGGATTGTGTGGCCAGTAGAGATCCATTTTGTGTGTGTGTGTGTGTGGGGGGGGGGGGTACATTTGTAGAATGAATAAATTGCTCTCTTTAATCAGCATATCCGCTATTTGTGAGAGTGAGTGTAAGAAGCATTCCTCCTTGTTAAAATGTCCTTGAACATTTTAATAAAGGTATACTAGCGTATAGCGTTAACCCCCCCCCCCCCCCACACACACACACACGCACACACAGACATGCTTACACCAAGGGCCCATCTTTCATATCATCCTGGAGCGACCGCCGGGTCCTGTACCAGCACCCACCCACTAATTGTGGTCCTTGTTACTGTTCCTTATCCTCTTCCACAAACATTGAGCTCAGGATAATGGAATCACATCTTATCAGTGCAAAAATTCACTCTGGAATTTGTCATTGGTGAATGAAAAAACATCAGCCGCTGTTTTTGTGTGTGTCTGTCTGTGTTTGTACATAATTCTACTGGAGCACATCCCTGTATGTGAGTATTAATACAATTTTGTCTTTGTCTCCTTCTCTACTTTCAGACATCCATTTGTCCTTCCCGGCCAAAACCCTCACAAATCATCCACTTCAATTATTATTTTCATTTTGTTTACAAAGTCATTCCAATGCTCTCGGCTTTGATATAATGTCTAAAAGTAGTGGAGAACCACTAAGTAATGACGGGAAGTAGCAAAAACACAACAACCAAAACAAAACAAAACAACAACAACAACAAAAACACCCTCATTCACAGGTGTCAAACACAAAGCCCAGGGGCCAGACCCGGCCCGCAACGTCATATTATGACACCCGCGAAAGCAAATCACGGATCAATTAACTTCCATGCTCCTTGATAAAAATCTGTGCCAAAATTTCACATTGTCATGTATCATAAATAATAATGCTGAGATTTTGCTTGTTGTTTTTGTTCCCCTTTGTGCAGTAGCTAGAACAATACGATCGATTATCCTTGATTTCTGATTTCAGAACTAGCAATCCATCAGTTTGTCGTGCATATGTAATAATATGATGAAACAATTGAACATTTATTTGGATTCACATTATAACGGCCTCCGGAGTGAAGCCATAACAACAAAGTGTCGCATAACAAAAATGAGTTTGACACCTCTCCCTGACCTCATCATGTCTTCGACATAAAGTTTAGGACTCTCCACTGCCATTGACAACTTTTTGGTGTTGAGGAATCGAGTGCCTCTGTTTGTGTTCTTTGATAAGGAACACTGAGTAAGATTTAGACTGCTATGTTAGCTTCTCACGCTACCTGCTTACTAGCTGCTGACGTCCTCGTCACTTAGCACGTAAACAGTAGGCTACAGTGTTTCTTAAAACACTGCATGTTATGTTAAAAACGAAATTTACAACATCAAATGTCAAAATAATTACACTAAACTGGTCCATCGCCTCTGAATGTACATGTACCTAATAAAATGTCTGGTGGGTATTTCGTATCAGCTCCACTGAGGTTGATCATGATTTATTTATTTATACATTTTACATATTTGTGACATATTCATCCAAAAAGTTCATTTGAGAAACTATGGCTTGGAGGCACATCACGTTCTTCTCTGAGGAATTAATCATCTTAAGTGTTGCATCATCAATCATTGCTCGTTTTGTGGCTATTGGGATACGTGGCTTTCATGACTCACCCTGCTTTGTGATGCAGTCCTCTGTGGGACAATTGGATTTTGGCTAAACACGACAAACGAGCCCGCCGTTAATCTCCAGTGTATCCGTAAATTACGCAAAGGACGGTTTGCATTAAGTCTACATGCATTAGCGTCATGTCTCAGACCTTACTTAGCCAACAAAGTCGTGCGCGGGGAGTGAGATGAATTTGAGTTTTAGAAACAGTCTGTCGGGCACAATGTCTTGGTGGGTGGAGGCTAGCTAAATTGGCTCAGGAAGAGAAAGAAGCTGTGTGTTGCGCAGCAGGAAGAGCAAGGTGCAATGACGACGACCGCTTTAACCTTGCTTTGTGCATATGTCACCAAGCAGTATGTCTTGGTTCACTGAGGGCACATGCACAGTACCGTGTTTGCAACCGTTTCTCTTCCAAGACAATTACATGTTGTATGTCTAAAACAATCAAAACATTGCCTTAAGAACAACTCACTATCTTAATGCTAGCATATAGTTGAAAATAACATTGACATGCAAACAGTTAGCATTTGTCGTCATGGTTTCACGACCCTTTCAACCAGGGTTCGCCAACCTTTTTTCCGCCATGGACCCGTTAATGGTATGCCTGATATTTTATGGACCAGCAACTATCCGTCAATAGGGTTCAAGGGGTGCTGAATATTACTGGTCAGGTGATTACGATATTTCAGTTTGGGACATATATTGTATGTTTAACGACAACCATTACATTGGCAAACATCCGGTGACGTGGGGACTGGGGACATGAAGTGCTGAAGAATATTCCCACCTAGAATCGAATGTACATTGGTGACATGTATGCAGGGATGTTTGTTTTATTATATCTGTGCGAACCAGTTTATTTACTCGAAGAATGCTTGGGCTTTTGTCACCTGGAAGTATGTGTGACACCATGGTGAAAAGGTCAATAAAGGTTTTATTTTCCAAAATATGTCCACTTTAATACTTGATTTGTGTTTGATTTAAATTTTCTCCTCTATACTACGATGCAGCAACGATGGATGACTTGCAAAAAGGGTGCTGAAAAGTTTCTCTCCACCCCCGTCAGCGGAAGTCAGCGGGACAGTGCAGCAGACGTCTTTTCCAGAGGATGGGAAACCTGGAGGCTGGAATCGCCTCTCATTTGGAATGAGGAGGAGGCAGCGGTCAGTAATGCCGCAGAGCACATGTGAAAAAATGTCAAGTAGCTATTAATGCCTTTATACATTTGACCTGCATTTTTCAGCTTGTCGCACACTTTGACCATGATCACAATATGGGCCCTAATTTGGTAGGCTGGCACCCGTGAGCTCAATGTGAAAATGCACGTAACTTCATTTTCATGCCAGGGTAATGGTTTGGTTCAGCTTGTTTGTAAATTTGGTAGATGCACTCCACCTCACCGGGCATTCCTGCCACGCCTACCAGCGCATCTGCAAATTGGGTTATAATAAGTAGACTGGATTTTAAACACACACAACGCAGGTTTAAATCGAAGCGCAGGTGGTGTAATGTGATTTTGGTGTATTTGATCAAGGCGCAGGCAGACAAATTCAGCGCTCTGCGGATGTGTGTGGCGGAGATCATGGAATTCCATTTATAAATATGACATCAGCATGGGACAATAACTGGGTGGGGTGGTCACACGGACGCACGATCGGGGGTGCAAGGGGGTCTCCAATTACCCATATCACATGCATGGCCGACCACATGATCGGCAAAGGAAAAAGCTGGCAGTGGCACAGTCACAGTAGTTGAATGTGTGTCAACTGTCACATTTATGTTGCACACTGTTTTTTTGTTGGGGGGGGCTGTTAAACAAACCACGACCTTAATGAAAATCTTGTTTAATGTCTGCAACTGCTCTATATAGTCAGAGTGCATAAAAGGAAGAAAAGCCAGTCAATTAATCGGTTGGGCCCAATTGTGTGTGTGTGTGTGTGTGTGTGTGTGTGTGTGTGTGTGTGTGTGTGTGTGTGTGTGTGTGTGTGTGTGTGTGCGTGTGTGTGTGCGCGTGCTGTGATGAATGGGGAGGTTTTCGCATGGGTGTGTGAGTGGTAAGATGTGAGACGATGTATCGTAAAGAGACATTTGCTCATGGGCCAACTCCATGAATACAAATTCCAGAAAGGACGGGTACACCTTGCGTCTCCTGTCTAATAGTGAACAAGCGCTGCCCACTTTTTCTTTTTTTTTCCTTCTTCCATCCAATCACAAATGCAAACTGCGCTGACTTCATGGGCACTGACTCATCCATTCATACATTTGATTTTATTATTTATTATAAACGAATGCCATTCAGAGTTATGGGGGCCACATATTTATAATGAGGGAGCCATTGTCCCACAGCAATGGCGCTACTGAAACGCAGCAGGTGAGTTTGTCATGGGAGGGAGAGAAAAAAGCAAAATTGTTACTTTGTGTAATGTCATGTGCTGGTTTATTTGGTTCATCCCCATGTGACCTCATCATAGGGGTATAAGTGGCAGGAAAAAAGTTAAACTGGTGGTCACTTTTGAAGCAGCAAAGAGAGCAAGTGTGTGTGTGTGTGTGTGTGTGTGTGAGAGAGAGAGAGAGAGAGAGAGAGAGAGAGAGAGAGAGAGAGAGAGAGAGAGAGAGAGAGAGAGAGAGAGAGAGAGAGAGAGAGAGAGAGAGAGAGAGAGAGAGAGAGAGAGAGAGAGAGAGAGAGAGAGAGAGAGAGAGAGAGAGAGAGAAAGTGGGAGGAGACAGCAAAGGAAGGGAGCAGGACAATATAGTAAAAGGGTTGAGGTCCAACAGGGAGTTGATTCATTCACTCACACTCGTGCAGCTTCTTTGCATGCGCACACATTAGCACCTGCACAGTGTTTTAAGCAACACACGCGGGTGGAAAGTGTACATTTGGATACAACATGGAGGGAGTATTACACAACATAGTTGAAGAGTGTTTACATGACACAGACTTATACTTGCTCTAGTTCAGAAAAGCTAGACAAGAGTCCACACAAGACTTGACACAATCCAATCTGTCCAAAGGAGCAGAAGGGAGAACCGAGGGATCGGAACACTGGAGCTCAAGGATAAGCCATGGACACTGTGTACATCCCAACCCACCTGGAGGTGAGTACGACACACACAGGCATGCATACACGCATTTCAGGGGCAAATATAGAATTTTAATGTCAAGCATTGTCATGCAGTACTGCAAAAAGTGGCAGCGATCAGTTTGGTCCCGAAGTACAGTTTCATTAATTTGTTGAAATCAGTGAAATTTTATTTTCTTGATTTATTCATTTTTTTTTAAAGAAAATGAACACTGACATAAAGTAAATTAAATCAGAATAACCTTTATTGGGCAAGTATGTTAAAAACACACAAGACATTTCTCTCCAGCAGTTGGAGCCATTCCAGTACTACACCAAACATGTTCCAAAAAATATGTTTATTAAATCAACACATACAATAAATACAGTTTAGCAAGTGTGAAATGATGTATCCTTTCATCAAGCAACTTTATTCGTCAATTGCACCTCAATCAGAATAACCTTTATTGGGTAAGTATGTTAAAAACACACAAGACATTTCTCTCCAGCAGTTGGAGCCATTCTAGTACTACACCAAACATGTTACAAAAAATATGTTTATTAAATCAACACATACATTAAATACAATTTAGCAAGTGTCCCATAGTGCAGTAATACTGATACGACCGTTGTGAAATGATGTATCCGTTCATCAATCAACTTTATTCGTCAATTGCACCTCAGTAAACAACAACAGTCATTCTCAAACATTTTCCACCAAGTACCACCCCGAAAAAAGTACAGTACTCAGGGCTCCAAGCACCACCATAATGACCAACATTAAAATACAGTAGCATAGTGGGCCTCAGTGTTCATAAAAATAATCACTGTATTAAACTTTTGTGAAAAGGCTTTTTGTCACAAGTTCAGTTCGATATTATATTCACTTTTATATTGTAGAAAATCATTAAACACGTGGAAAATACTCTTCAGAGGGCCCATTTCACATAATTTTGCTCGTTCCTCAAGCGCTGCTTACTTACGTGAAATACTTCACCGTGTTGAGTGAATGTACACAAAAATAATCACTGTATTAAACTTTTGTGAAAAGGCTAATGTCACAAGTTCAATTCAAATAGTGAAACTTTTATATTGTAGAAATTCATTAAACACATGGGAAAATTCTCTTCAGAGGGCCCATTTCACATAATTTTGCTCATTCCTCAAGCACTGCTTACTTACGTGAAGTACTTCACTGTGTTGAGTGAATGTACGCGGTGGGACCTGGAGTATCAACGCTGCAGTTTACGCATGACACAAACAATTATCCATTTTCTATACTGCTTAAATTGTGATTCAAACATGCAGTAAAAAGATGAATACATTACATTTTAAGGACTACTGTCATCAGTGGTATTTTTAGGTGTTCTTAGATGACATTTCGGGCTGCTCGAGCACTCAAAATATGCCCATTGGTCTGGAAGTGTGCTGCTGAAGACATTAGCCACACACACACACTCCCACACACACACACACACACACACACACACACACACACACACACGCACACACACAGACACACACACACGCATACACAAGCATACAAACAGCAGTTGCTCAATCCAAACTCAAGTGCTCGTAAAGCTAGCTGAATAGTTTTCCCATTATGAGTTCAAAGAGCAGCAGGTAAATGAGCCAGCGTGTTGTGAGGCTGCCACCACCGCCGCCGAGAGCGTTATTAATGCGAAAAGCAGGTAGTCTTGCGTTTTTTTTATTTTTTTTACATAGTGCCGAGCTGTCAGACGTGGTGTGACGCTAGCAGCCACCAGCGAAATATGTCAGTATTTCCACCCAAGCTTTTTTGTAAGACCGGGCTCTCTCCAGTTCACTACAATATAGCATTATGCTGTACGTCAGTGGTTTGTAAACCTTATACACAAAGTACCACCTCAAAAAATGCTTATCTATCCAAGTACCACCATCATGACTAATGTCAAAGTACCATAATTAGTCATCAAAAACTAGACAGAGGCCAATGTAACAATTGGTGAAAAAAAAAAAACATCTAGAGGACAAATAAGTACCACTGAAAATATTTAGTCGTATCACCACTTTTCAGGTAGTGCAAAGAATGAAAATAAATATGACGCAGTTTTTCAAGTAATATTCAAGTATGTCCAATATTTTTACAGTAAAAGTGAGAATAACCGGGACAGCAGAACTGAACCAATCTCCGTATTCATCAATGGATGCTACAGCTTGTTGTTTACTTTCAAACTTAGCTTGTAGCAGACGTGTGTGACGTCATGCACGCTATGATCATAACGTGTCTGATGCACTGGCGAAAGGAGACTTTGATTCTCTCCCCTTTCGTGTATTACCATTTCTAACAACAAGGCGTATGTAGGAATAGTTGTTATGATTGTAGTATTGTGTTCTTTTGTATTTATGGAGTTTTATATTAAATGTTGTGTCAAGCAAGTCGCTGATGGAATAGTAGTGCACTCGCCTGACTTGTGTGCAGGCAGCGTGGGATAGGTTACCACTCAGTGACATTGTGGATGTGGGTGTGAATGGTTGTTTGTCGCTATATGTGCCCTGTGACTGACTGGTGAGCAGTATTGAAAAAGTAACTTCATAAATGTTCGAAAAACCAAAAGCGAGCAACTTCCTCGTACTTAAAAGTTACACGCAACTGAACTCTGCTCAACTGTAAAAGTAATATAGTGGATTAAAAGAAAAAGTTTAAGCCACTGCTGTGCGCATAAAATACTGGTCTCCTGAGGCCAAAACCACACAAGCGCAGCATTTCAACCATCACGCTGAGACGTATGTTGTATATTTTGCCCTTCTTGAAAAGTCCCCAAAACACTGCAAACATCTTTCAGGATGATGCGGTGCACTTCTACAATAATTCAAACAACGATCATAACAATTAAAAAAAAAAGTCCTTTCCTTGACCTGGAACCAATTTTGGTTCCCAGAAAAGGTTGATTTATGAGCCCACCATGGAAAATGGCATGAAATTGAGCCATCGAGAACTAGAGTGGGGTAAGTGAAATTTTGTTATTTTGCAAGAAAGTAATTTAAAATGTGGCTGCTCTAAAATCTGGGAGATTTATATGAGAATGATGATTGCTTCTTATGGAAATATGTTTTAACAAAAAATTTTTTTTCCTCAGATTTTGGCCTTTCACCAAACATAATAGCTTTGGAAAGCATTTTGAATATTTGTTCTGGATCATATTACTTGCACTTTTATTCACCGCGAAGGTACTGTGATAGGAGAAAGAAGTTTACAGCAATAGTGATCTAAGTCCAAATATAGCTGTCAAATCTATCAATATTTTGTGAAAGATTTACATTCGCAACATTCACTGATTCAAACATGCAGATGCACTGGCACCCAAACTAAAGCACATCTTACTTTCTGATCCTGGCTTCATATGCACAGCCATCTTGGAGGTGGGAGTTGGTCCAGTGTTGCACTGAAGAATGAGGAAATGGGCTGAGTACAATAAAGGGCTGCCCTCGAAATATCAAAGTTCGAACTAAATCTACATCAATAGTCACCTAAATATAATGACCAAATTGGAGTTAGCCCACTTTAGTTCTTAGTGGCTCAATTTTAAGCGAGTGGAATTTTTAGCTGTCACGCAGCATGTTCCAAAGCACAACAGCGAGCAAGCTGTAGAGGGGGACTGAGGATTTGGAAGGAGTGAGAGAGCGAGAGAGAGAAAGAAGAGAGAGAGAGAGAGACAGACAGACAGACAGAGAGACAGAGCGAGAGACAGAGAGAGAGAGAAAAGGAGGAATTTGGGAAAAGAAACACGGGAAGAGCAACAGGAAGGGAAAGTTGAGGACCAGGCGTAACATGAAGACAGCGGCGGCGGATAAATCAGCCAGCTGCAGTGACACTCGGGGCCGTCCATGTGCCGCACTCTTCCGCAAAAACACCATTCATATAAGGCTTTGGAAAAATAGAATCAAATGGGGTGGGTGGAGTAGAGGGTGAAATAGAAGCCATTGAGGTAAAACGAGTGAAAGTTTTATGTCATATAAATGCAATATTGGATTATTGATTACTGAATTGTGTTATGTGGCCTTTTTAGTTGGTGTGTGTTTTTCATTTTATATTGTATTGCAATGTTGTGGAAGAGCCCAACTGGGGGGCTGAAGTTGACAGTTAGCACTAGCTATAAACGCGATATGCATCATCAAAAATAAATAAACAAATAATAATTTGGGAAAAAATAATTTTTGCCAAACTGCAAATAAACATAAACTGTAGATTTAAGTTGTAATATCACCAATCACCACTAAATGGCAGACTTGTCTGAGTTGTTCTTGCACAAGATCTTATACTGCCCTATACTTCAACATGAGTAAGCGTTGTATTTTTTTCCGGATTTGGAATAATATGCAGGACAAACATAGTACCTCAATATTAACATTTTGAGTGAGTTGATTTCTGTGAAAAATAAATAAAAACACACAAAATTGAGTTTTTGCACATATTATGCACATATGCATGTATTTTGTCCATATCTAAACTAGCATTTTTCTCATACATCTGGTTAGGGCGGGCATGGTCCTATGTAACCCCCAAAATCACATTGATAAAAAAATTGTGGCCCTCTCCAGTGTTTAAGTTGTCCATCCCTGTTCAAATAAATTCATTTTTTGTTACGCAAACAAATTCTTAGGAGGAGCTTGATTCTGTGTCTGGTCAAATGCCTGTGATTTGTGTGAAAGTATGCGTCTGCAATAAAAATCGAATTCATTTGAATACTCCTAACACATCTTAACCTGGCGTGCCAATATTTATCCAGGGCATCGTATGTTTGAATGCGTTGTCCCTGTCAAAAAACAAACAAAACAAAAAACAAAAAAAAAGACAAGCCTGTCGTGAAAGCGGAAGGGGAAAAGGCATGTTGAAATAAACAGATAAAAAGAGAGGATGGGAGTTTATCGCCACACTGTCTGCTGCTAAGTGAGGTCAGGTCACATGCAATGTGTCTTATGGCAGACACAACCTTAAAACCTTCATTTTGCCTGAGCCAGAGAACATTTATCATCATGTCTCTCTCTCTAGCCCTTGATATCTCTCTCTCTCTCTCTCTCTCTCTCTCTCTCTCTCTCTCTCTCTCTCTCTCACTTTTTTTTTTTTGATCCCAAGGGAATGCTAGCTACAAAAACAAATATCATCTCTGTGCCAAATTTCTTTGCCTGTGCCTCGATCAAATACATCAGAATGGCGTTAGACCACCGGCGCTGCATAATAAATCTCCTTTTAGCCCATCTAAAATGTTGTCAACTTTTTGGAACCAAATTTGCAGATGTGCTGGGGTCGAGGCAGACACACCCAGTGAGGCGAAGCGTATCTATCAAATTCACAAACATGCTGAACTACACCATTGCCTATGCCTAAAAATGACAATGCACTCATTTCTACGCAGAGCGCAAACTATTTTCTGTGACAAAATTGTCGGATTATTTACAGTACGTCATATTATTTTCTTAGAAAAAAGGACCTACGTTATTTTAAGTTATTTAATTTAGCTTTATATCTCGTAATATCATGACTTCTATTCTTGTCAGTTACAACATTCCAACTTTGTCAGTATTTTTGCCTGTACCTCCCTGTGTGTGCCTTGACTAAGCCGTAAGTGCCCTGCCCCTGCCGTGTGAACCTTTGAACCTCTCAGTGTCTTTTAGTAGGTGAGGCAAGTATAGGAGAGATGTCTTCTGCTTGTCCTCAATGCGCTTTTAGCCACCACTGACAGGCATCTCCTCTGTAATTGTCCTGTGCTGCCTTTGCCTCAGGTGAAAGGCTTCCTGCTGGGTGGGGCCGACTGTCACACTGTAATGAACAGGCCGCGAAAATCACTCGCTGCTTTTCTCGTGCCCTTTGAACTCGTGCCGGCCAGCCCGGTGTACGCAATCACGTACGCATAAAAGCATAAAGAGATACTGTCAAACCCGTAGCCTTTTTCTGACAGTGTGGCCAGATTAGCGGGCCATTATGGCGTCATTATGTGTTTGCTCGGGCCCTAAACACTTCACTTATCTTGGTGTTAATCAATTCGATGCCTCGTAAAGAGATAAAGGAGGGCAGACCAGGGTTATAAGAGTTTGAGATTTTTCTTTATTGTGAGTTTTTTTGTTTTTAAAAGCAGTTAGATTTAATTAGTTTTTTTGAGCAGGTTTGTTAGTTTGTATTATTTTTTTATTTTTTTAAGCGCTTCATTTTAGTTCAGTTTTATTAGTTTTAAAATTAGTTTTAGTTTTTTATTTTATTATTTTTTTTTTTAATACAGAGTTTTTGTCAGGTCACAACGCATAGTGTAATGGTAAGTAAATTGTCATACACATGTTTGACCTTCCTTCTTCTATCCGGACATACAGCAATACCAAAATTTAAAATGAACCCCATAAGCTCATGTATGATATTAATTGACAAAGATGAAAATGAAGGATATTTTCACAATCGTGAGTTAGTTTTAGTTATCTTTATAAGCGGAAGATGTCGCTTCAGTTAATTTTAGTCTTCTTAAAAGGTTTTTTGTTCAATTTTAGATTTTTTTTTTTTTCGTTTTTGTTGACTACATTAACCTTGGCACATACAAGAAAACATATATTAAAGAAATAGCGCCTTTTTTTTTTTACCTGTGCATTTCCTTCATTTGATCAGGTCTGACTTCTTTTATTTTACTATTATTTTTTTTTTAAATAAACCTCACCTCAATTTTCACCTCAGGAGGGCCATTAGCTCTTTAATGACCGGTTGACTTATTAACATCTGTGTCATGATGCTATGCTGTTAACTATGGTCGTAATTGTGCGACCTCCCAGTTTGTGGTTACGTTCCCGCGCTGACACACACCCAAAAAATGTTTGAGGGATGGAAGGGAAGAGAAGAGCTCATATTGTGTGTCACCTCTCATTGCAGATCATGAAAGCAATGCTCTTTTATGGCTTGATGCTAATTAGAAGGGAGAGAAGATAATCAATGCCAGAGATAGGCAGACTCCCAATCATTGTCGTTAAAAGCAGTAACAATATGTACTCCTTTTTTTTTTTTTGTCGTACGTTGGGCTTAACCTCTTACTGGAACTTTGGTTCACACACAAATCAGTTTACGAAACATTTTTTTTTCCAGACAAAAATTGCATAGCTTTGCTATGACATCCAAGCTTAATGCTCAGTAATGTTTACTTGTGCTTTCTCTTACACCGCACAAACGTCAGTCGGTCCGTGCATCAGGTATTTTAGGGATTGCATTTTTTTTTCTGTTTGAAATCAGTCCTGACTATTGCTCCTAAGAAAGAGCCACGCGTGGTTGTGCTGTTAAGAAGCTCTGGAAAATGTGCATGGCGTACTTGAGGTGTCACTAGATCAATGTTATTTTAGATGATGAAAACAAACAAAATAACAAGAAACTATATTTGAAAAAAAACGTTTTCATCAATGAAATGAAATAAAAATGAGAGCTTTGCGAAAACGATAACTAACTGAAACTACATCTTATGTTTATGAATATAACATCTAAAAGTAACTGGAAAGATAGCAAAAATGTCACTCATTTTCATATTTATCAATTTTATACATGAGCTTTCGGGGATGATTTTAAGTGTATTTTGTATTCTGTATTACTGAACAAAAAAAAGGAAATTTCAACAGTTATTGCAGGGATTTTATCTTACTTTACTTGATTACAATATTTTTGCCCCTTTTTTTTGTCATGCACTAGACAAATACTCCAGATACAAAAAAAACCCAATACTGAAACTAATACAAACGAAACAGAAAAAATATGTAAAAACTAAAAACCTGCTCTAAAAACAAATTGATATGATATCTATCTATCTGTCTGTCTATCTATCTGTATCCAAATGTCATTTTGAACAAAATAAAGTATTTCCTTGACTTCAGCACTGTCTCGTTCCCCATGTTAGGTCCACCATGCTCCTTGCTAACCTCCTGCTCCTCATGGTCCTGCCGCTACCTCAAGCCTCGTCCGGTGGCCAGGGTGACACCGGCGAGGTCGACAATGGCAGGCTAGCCGGCGCGTCGCCGGCCACCTCGAATCCCCTGCCGATTGGGTCCCGCCCAGAGCCGGGCCTGGCTCAGACCATCCAGAGTCTCTTGCTGAGCCGCCTGGGCCTGCAGTCACAGCCCAACCCTCGGCCCGGCGTGCCGATCCCTCAGTACCTCATGGATCTGTACCGCTTCCACCAGCAGCAGTACCACCTGCTGGAGGACCCAACATTCAGCTTCCCCAGCCATCATGTGCAGGAGGCCAACACCATACGCAGCTTTCACCACACCGGTAAGACCATTGCTATGCCGTAACCACACACCATTGTCAAAATGAGAACCAGGAAAGAACCTTTAGCTCGCACCATGGAAGCTGTTTGTATGTTGTCTTTTATCAGTGCATGGTGACGTATAAATCGACTTTATGACAGGTGCAGATATCTTTGACAAGTCTCATTTAACAATCAAAACGTCATATGGCTCAAGCACGCTCACGATAGATTAGATGGGTTGCTGTAGTACATGTATACACACACGTGTTTATGTCTACAGTGAGGGACAAAAAAACAGAGGGTTGAAAATAAAAATGATAAACATTGAAAAAAATGGAAAAGAATCTGCAGGTGCTGGCCCATGTGTGTACATGTGTGTGTGGGAATGTGTGTGTGTGCGTGTGTTTTGCTGGCCAATAGCAGTAATGTACATACAGTATTTGCCAACCTCCCTAATACTGTCAGCCCAATTGGGGAATGACGATTTTGGATCCCAGTCTGACCTCTAATTTTATTATGCAAGTTGCAGCTGAGTAAAAGTAGCAGGACCAGCCCAAGTATGAAAAAAGTGACTCATGGTCTGAAAAATACGATACCTCCCCTGATAAATAAAGGTTAAATAAATCGTAAATTACAAAAGTAAGTAAGTAAAAGTATTTTTAAATACAAGTTTGTTGTTGTTGTTCACCTAGAGCCCCTCACAGCAGAGGACCACAAATGGGCGTATATCTCCTTCAACATCTCCTCCATCCCCCTGGATGAGAAGGTGCTCTCGGCTGAGCTGCGCCTACGTACCGCCAGGACCACCTCCCTGGGCCCCGGACCTCACAGACTGAACCTGTACCTCTCTGGGCACCGACAGGACCCTCAACCCACCCTGCTCGAGACCAGACTCCTCACCGCTGAGCCTCAAAGTCATCCAACCGGCCGCCTTTGGGAAGCATTCAGCCTGAAGGCAGAGCTCTTTGATTTGGCCCTGAGCGGAGCAGACCACCTAGGCTTCCTCCTGGAGGTGGTATCAGAGAACAGCACCGGTCGGGGAGAAGGGGAACAACATCAGGCGGGCCACTTGAGGGTGTGCAGGTCTGTGGAGCAGGATGAGCACAGCTGGGCCCAGGAGAGGCCCCTCTTGGTGACATATAGTCACGACGGGCGTGGAGAGCCTTTGGTCAAGCACGGCAGGAGGAACGTCAGCGCGGTGCCCAGGAAAAGCTGGAATAGAGACCAAAAGTGGAGCCGGTATAAAACGTACAAAACACCGAGCTGGGGGGGCCAACCAGGAAGGGTGAAACGAAACGGCGGTCGCGCGGCCAAACTCAAGCGCCTCTCCCGCAACCGCTGCCGCCGCCATCCCCTCTACGTGGATTTTAACGACGTGGGCTGGCACAAGTGGATCATCGCGCCCAGCGGCTACGACGCGTTCTTCTGCCTGGGTGAGTGCCGCTTCCCCCTGGCCGACCACATGAATTCCTCCAGCCACGCCATGGTGCAGACACTGGTCAACTCGGTCAACGGCGCCGTGCCACAGGCCTGCTGTGTGCCGACCTCACTCAGCCCCATTGCCCTGCTCTACCTGGACCCCCAGGATCGCGTGGTGTTGAAGAACTACCAGGACATGGTGGTGGAGGGCTGCGGATGCCGGTAGCGTGCTGAACAGAAACCGTCCTGGGAGGAAGACGATGGTGGGATGACGTATAAATGCTCTTCAGTGAGGGAAATCTCAGCCTAAGCATAAACGTCAGAAAAAGTTGTGCTGCTTTTCCATTGCACAGGTACGACAAGATGTGAAGAAGACACAAAAGTCAGACAACTTTTAACTGATGGGGGAGCTACAGCAGCCAAAATGGAGAGAGTGAAACAGCTAAAGCAGGGTACACACATATCGTTAATTGGATCATATCTGAGCAGTTTGACACCCGCAGTCAGCAAAAGGGCGATTATCAGATGCCTGTGAAAGATCACCCTGAGTGATTGTCCTATGGCGAGGGGTGTGTTCAGAGTGATTTTCTTTTTCGGATTAATCGACTACTCAACAAATCAACTTTACTTCTCCACAATGACATTTGGACTGTGACGTCCACTAGTTGCTAGTAAGGGTCTAACCGATGAGACAACTAGTTGACGTGTCACAAGCTGCTAATAGGGATTGAGTGGATTTGTCGACAAGTCGACGATACTATTTCACACTGACTTTAAAAGCCTGAAGTCAACTCATTACTGATCATTCGATTTTGTCATCCCAAACAAAATTGAGCATTTTTACACTCTTACAATTAATGTCAGCAAAGGCCTGGTTATCAGACCCGCTTTGAAAGATTACCCTGAGCCATTATCATTTGGTGAGGGGCATGTTGAGTGTTTTTTTTTTTCCTGATTAATGGACTACTCAACAATTTGACTTTACCATTCCACAATGACGTTTGGTGCGCAATGTCGACTAGTCGCTAATAAACATTTCTTACCGATTAGTTGACTTGTAGATTTCAGTCCTCCACAAGAATGTTCAAAGCATTACATTGACAAGTCAGAAATTGCTAATAGGGGTCGAATCGATTAGTCGACGAGTTGACTACTACATGTTGACGTTTAAAGCTTGAAGTCGACTAATCACTAATCATATGATTTACAGAAAATAATCAGGTGTCTGGGAAATATTATTCTGAGCGATTATCCTTACGATTGTAAAGGTTAAATCTGTTAACTATTTACAATGACAAGTCCTTCTGTGTGCGTTCAAAATTTAATTCATACATCTTGAGTATACTACACACTTTGGGAGCAATTAAAAACACATTAGTGATTTTTTTTTTCCTTATCATTTGCGGAGTATCTCACATTTAAAACATGGGTTAAGCTGTTAAAAAAAAATCGGTATGTGTGTACCTTGCATAAGCGTCTTAAATAGTGTCTGACTAGGACTTGTTCACTAATAAAAGCATCGATCATAAGGAAGTACCGTGCAGTGGGAAAACAGAGCTACACTACTCATTTATCTGACATTATTTCGCAACAGCAGTCAACCGCAGTAATCAAAGCATCGTTACGAAAAACTACCAAGAGGAAGGCTGAGGTTGTCCTTGAAAGCACCTACGTGTCACCAGCTATTTAAATACAAAACACATCAACGACGCTGACAAAGAAAATACAATGCTATTGTTCTGAATGTACTCTGTTATTATTTAAAAGAAAACTTTTCTTTGCGGACGTAAAGATGATCGGACACGATTCCATGTAGATGTCCATTCTCTAACTTAAAATGTATTTAAAGGCTGCAGTCTTATGGTGTATTTAATCTTGGTGATAAGCTGCACACTCACATGAAGTAAGTTATGACTTTACCTGTTTGACCGTTATGTTAACTGAGCAACATTCACAACTTAATTCTTGTGCACTAACAAAGCTGTGTGTATGAATGTGTGTGGGCGTTTGTGACTTAGGGTTTGCATCGACTAGTTGACTTGTCGACTTTACCACGCCACAATGACTTGACGTTGAATAGTCACAGGGAGTTGAATTGATTAGCTGATGGTTTTCATCTTTACTATCCCACAATAATTCGAGCATGTCAACTAGTCGGTTATAAGGGCTGAACCGATTAACTGACTAGTCGATGAGTCTACTATGCTAATCAACAATAATGTTCAGAAGATGACGTTGACTAGTTGCTAATGGGGTCTATAGCCATTTTGTTGACTTGTTGACTGCTCCACAAGACGTGTAGAGTGTGAGATGGGTCTGAAAAGTCACTAATAGGGGTTTAAACAATTAGTTGACTAGTCAACAAGTTGTCCAAACTACTCCGCATCAACATTTAAAATTTGAAGTTGACGAATCACTATCGATTTTTGCCATCTGGCCAATTTGTGTGTCGGTGTGCGTGTTTATAATATTATATACTTTTGTGTTAGTGTACACTGCACCCTAAGCATCCTATCAGTTTCACTTTCACCCAAAAAGTATTTAAAAATAAAAAATAAAAATTTAAAAAGCAGGTGACCTTTAACATACCGTGGCAAGTGACCTCCATCTCCGGAAGTTGTAGTCAGCAGTCTGCAATTGCAGCTTGCGATCAGAGCTCTTGCGATATATATCTTTTTTTTTTGTTATTAGGATACAATACTCATTCAGTTTGTTTCGTCTGCAATTCACCAATGGCGCTGGCAAAGAATGAGAATGTAAAGCGCTAGGAGAAGCATTTTAAAACGGTACATGTGAGCTACGATAGAGATATCCGTGCATTTAACACGCTGCAAAAGTGCGTCCCATGCCTCCGCATCAGGTCTCCCACTAAGATAGGCAGTGATTTCCGTTTCACAGACTCATAAACTGTTTTATCTACTTTATTCTTCTGTTTCGTTAATGTTAGGGGCCATTATGGCTGTTGCTCATCATGGCATGCGTGTGTGCCTGCGTGCACGCAGATACACGTGTATGCGCGCATATGTGCGGGAACAGTCGATCGCGGAAAGTTGGTTTGCTTGAAAAGTAGATCTTCGGTTAAAAAGGGTCGGGCACATTTCAAGTGTTTCATTAACCCGCTTTTGGGAATGTGGGAGCAAAGCGGAGTACCTGGAGAAAACCCACACAGGCACAGGGAGAACATGCAAACCCCACGCAGGAAGGCTGGAGCCAGAATCAAACCGTGCACCTCTGCAATGTGAGGCGGACGTGCAAACCGGTCTCCCCCGTGCCGCCCTTGTATTTAATGTATTTGTTTTGGATTCTTTGCCAGTCCGCCAGAAATATGTCTGCATGAAACGTCATGTACTATGCTGAAAAAAACCCATCAATGATTTCGATTTGACTTTGATCACATTGTAGTCCGCTACAAAAAGTATTCAGCGTTCAAACCACTAATTGCTATTCATGTGATTTTGGCTTGAAGAGGAGGCAGAGCCAGTTGTTGCTACGATTGAGTCCATCACAACGCATTATATTTGATAGTTTTTGTAATCTATTTTTGGGGCCTGGTACAAAAAGTCGAGCGGACCAGTGGTTGGGGACCTCTCATATGTGCGGGAACAGTCGATCGCGGAAAGTTGGTTTGCTTGAAAAGTAGATCTTCGGTTAAAAAGGGTCGGGCACATTTCAAGTGTTTCATTAACCCGCTTTTGGGAATGTGGGAGCAAAGCGGAGTACCTGGAGAAAACCCACACAGGCACGGGGAGAACATGCAAACCCCACGCAGGAAGGCTGGAGCCAGAATCAAACCGTGCACCTCTGCAATGTGAGGCGGACGTGCAAACCGGTCTCCCCCGTGCCGCCCTTGTATTTAATGTATTTGTTTTGGATTCTTTGCCAGTCCGCCAGAAATATGTCTGCATGAAACGTCATGTACTATGCTGAAAAAAACCCATCAATGATTTCGATTTGACTTTGATCACATTGTAGTCCGCTACAAAAAGTATTCAGCGTTCAAACCACTAATCGCTAGTCATGTGATTTTGGCTTGAAGAGGAGGCAGAGCCACTTGTTGCTACGATTGAGTCAATCACAACGCATCACATTTGATAGTTTTTGTAATCAATTTTTGGGGCCTGGTACAAAAAGGCCAGTGGACCAGTGGTTGGGCACCTCCGTTAGAACGTATAGGTTCTGTATAATTTTGGGATTCATCACTTGTCAGTGAATATAGATGATTGCAAAGAATTCCGTCTTCTGCAAGTTGTTAAAACCGATATTTTTTTGTACCAGTGACATTATCAGCGACAAGTCGACGTCCACTAGACTTTTATCACATTAGTGTAGACTAAAAAAAAAGTGAAGTCGTGCAATCCCTAGTGCTTAGACTTTTATCACATTAGTGTAGACTAAAAAAAAAAGTGAAGTCGTGCAATCCCGAGTGCTAGTGTGTGTGTGTGCGCGTGTGTGCGTGTGTGTGTGTGTGTATGTGTGTGTGTCGTCGTTGCTGCCGAAGTGAAGTCTTGTTCGCTGTGTCTGCATGTGCCAACAGCAAAGAAAATCCATGATGACACATTTGTGTGCCTTTCAAATCGTGTTCTCTGCTTATTGTTTTTCCAGTGTCGCATTCTCTTCTCACTTTGTGCAAACATCGACGCAGCAGAAGCAGCTTGTAAAATGTTCAGAATATGACTCCCAATAAAGAAAACAAACAGCTCTTCTCTTTGCTTGTGAGATTTTTTTTGTTCTGTGCACTTGTACGTGTTCTGCAGCCTGCAGTTGGAATTCTTATTACATAGACACAGAAGTGAGGCCGCCAGACCCACGTGTTAAAATAAAATGATATATTTAATACAATAAAGATCCATCCATTCATTTTCTGATCCGCTTATCCTCACAAAGGTTGCGGGGGGTGCTGGAGCCTATCCCAGGTGTCTTCGGGCAGTAGGCGGGGGACACCCTGAACCGGTTGCCAGCCAATTGCAGGGCACACATAGACAAACAATCATTCGCCCTGAAAATCACACTTAAGACAAATTTAGAGTGTTACATTAATCAACCAAGCATGTTTTTGGAATGTGGGAGGAAACTAGAGTACCTGGAGAAAACCCACGCCGGCACAGGGAGAACATGCAAACTCCACACGGGAATGCCGAAGCCGGAATCGAACCCTGCACCTCTGCACTGTGAAGCCGACGTGCTAACCAGTGCAGCACTGCGCCGCCCAACATAATAAGAGAAAAAGTCAAATATTATTGTAAAAGCAAATATACCAACTAAGCATTCATGAGATACAAGATAATGTACAAAGAACATTAAAACACAACATTGATTGAAAATAAACTCAATAGCAATATAAAGTGCCAATAAAACATATCAAACATAAAACATGTAAACGCAATAGACAATGAAATTAAAACTGCGCATAGACAAATGGTGCATTGGTGGCAACTGGCAACTTACAGAATGTTTTCCACGTATGGCAACTGACTTCTGTACAATGCGCAATACATCGTGGATGACTGCCAGTACAATTCATGTCATTGGCTGTTACACACCATGGCTCACTTACTGGACCGTTGATGACCTCTGGCCTCCCTCCTCCATTATCTAATCCCCCCACTATCCAAAAACTGTCACACACTTCCTCCTCTTCTAACGGCCCATCCCTTGCTCGCTCTCTCTCTCTCTCTCTCTCTCTCTGCTCCATCAGCTTTTCCCCCGTGCGACGGGCCTCAGCTCTTCACTCCACTCTGACTATTTTCGGTGGCTGCACCTGTGCAGTAGCACCCTTAAAAAGGCATGAAAACCCTCTTCCCTCCCCCTCCCCCCCCCCCCCCCTCTCTCTCTCTCTCTCTCTCTCTCTCTCTCTCTCTCTCTCTCTCTCTCTCTCTCTCTCTCTCTCTCTCTCTCTCTTTTTGACACCCCTGTGCTAAGCAGTCGACCACCGTGCCGCTATAATTTATGATACAATGACTTGTTTGCTGTCATAATACATTTATTTGAATGAATTCAATATTGCAAACTTTCCTATATATATGGAAATTTGCAACATATATATATATATATATATATATATATATATAAATCAATACAACTTGCTACGGATCTCAATGTAACTTTTAGGTGCAGTATATTTCAGCGCTTTGATTCCAAAGATTTATTGAGATACAGCTTTTTTTTTTTTTTTTTTTTAAGGGGGTGAGTTTAAGATCCACTGCAATATCACATGTCAAAACTTTTCTTTCATATGTTGTGGCTTTTGCTAAGCGACAGTGTCAACATTCATTGACATGGCTTAGCGCTGGTGGCTAAAGCTTCCCTCTTGGACACTAGACATTGTAACTGTCCCCTAAAGTACACTATATTGCAGTTTGATACGTATGTGTGTCACACCATAAAATGAGAGGGTCCCAAATCGCTGCGGCAGATGTCAATGACTCCACCGGTTGCGTGCTGCCGTCGAGCCCAGTCACATAAAACAAACAGCGACCCATTCTGAAAGCGAACAAGAACAAGCAGA